AGTTCCGCACAAAAGAGGGTTTTATTAGGCACTCCGTTGTTTCTTGTTTAATTACACACATGTTCCGTCGAACTGTTGTATAAACGCAATATCACTCTCGTACTCGAGCGATACTGGCTCTATATCAGCGCGGCCTCGTGCCTCTGGCCTAATCACAGCCATGCTGATATAGAGCTGGTATCGCTCGAGTACGAGAGTGATATTGCGTTTATACAACAGTTCGACGGAACGTGTGTAATTAAACGAGAAACAACGGAGTGCCTAATAAAACCCTCTTTTGTGCGGAACTACTTCCTTCCGCCACGGATTCAAAGCTCAAGTTGACAGTTAAACATACGTCACTTTTAGAATTCGTATCAAGGGCATGTGCTGCTTCAGTTAGGTTATTAGTGAGAAATAATGGGGTTATAAGAGAGAAACAATGCGGCAAGACGTGCATCCAAGTGAGAGAGAGAGATTGCGAAGCTAGACGTTTCTTCTTATATTAACTAACATACTCTACGATTAGCTCAGTGAATAATAAAAAAAAAAACAGAGACCCGGCTAGAACAAGCGGAGTGATACAAAATTGTGAAAGGGCGTTCCTGTAGCGATACCAGTACAATATTTCACGGTTCTCAACCAATCAGATTTGAGAACCAGAACGAACTGTTATATATATACACATCAAATTGTAATTATTGCTATTATTTATTTTATTGTATTTTTTCCAGGAAATGTCCTAAGAACAATCGTGGAAGACGACAAAAGCAGAACTTTTCATCAAACGCCTCTTCAAGGATGATGTAGCTTGTTTTTATTTTATTTTTTTTATACTTTTTGTACCGAGTGGATTACAGTTTTAATGTGATTTTTTTTGTTTTGTGCTTTCTTGACTCTGGACAATAAGGTTATTATCAATTGAAAAGTTATTTTATTATGTTATTGAATGGTGCCTTATTGTTTTCAGGACATTTTAGGTACTTGATGTCAGTGAATGATGTCACTGTCAAATGAATGATAAAAGCCAGCTCTTTTTGTCGAGTTTTTTTGTTTTTATTTTTCCTTTAGATCGCGGTACCAGGTTTTTTCACGTATTGTTAAATGTAACTCTCGGCACACAAACTGTACCACAAAAACGGACGTCCTCTATTTCCATCGAATGTGCTTCTTTACTGAAAATGTTAACTCTGGACTGTCTTTAACTGCCCCCTTTGATTTGATTTTGATTTCCTCAAATCAAACATAGCTGAACACCAAATTTAATTGGACATGAACAAGTTTGCCGACGAAGTGATGACGTTTACAGTTTCTTTTGAAGGGAATTCCAGAGAATGAAATGCAACGTGTTTGACTAGCTAATCTTATCAATGTTGAAATGTTTGTAGTTTTTATGTTCTAATGTTATCGGTGTTGTTAATGTTGAAACGAACATTATTGACATTAATTTAATTCTATGAACTGCATATCGCATGACCTGTGAAACTGTGTCCAGTGCTGTAGATTTAATAAAATTTAATTCTCAGTCTTACAGATATTTTTGTTGCCTGCACACATACACACGGTGTAAAGTTAGTTGCTAAACCTTGAGTAATTCAGATGTGGTTTGTATTAAGTAATACGATCTCTCTGAGTAATCTAATTTTAAGAATCCAGTTCAAGTACTTTGTATTTTGACATGTTTAAATCCTTAGCATCATGCTCCAAGACATCAGGTTTGAACCAGTTTGGACGCCGTTACAATTTTACAAAACATCTTAAAGGGATCATTTACTCACCTTTATGTGGTTCCAATCCTGTATGACATTTCATCTGTGGAAAACAAAGATGATATTTTGAAAAATGTCAACTTTAAAGACAAAAATTAAGTAAAGATCATGTTTCATGAAGATATTTTGTAAATTTACTACTGTAAATATATTCAAACTTAATTTTTGATTAGTAATATGCATTGCTAAGAACTTCATTTGGACAATTTTAAAGGCGATTTTTCCAGTATTTAGATTTTTTTACACCCTCAGATTCCAGATTTTCAAATAGTTGTATCTCGGCCAAATATTGTCATAACTAACCATACATCAATGGAAAGCTTATTTATTCAGCTTTCAGATGATGTATAAATCCCAATTTCGAAAAATTTACCCTCATGACTGGTTTTGTGGTCCAAGGTCACATATGTTCTTGTGTTCCACAGAAGAAAGCAAGCCAAAAAGGTTTGGAATGACTCGAGGGTGAGTGAATGAATTTTGAATGAACTATCCCTTTAAGAGACATCTTAGGCTGTCAAATTCTAAAATGACAGATTGCATTGAGAAGCAGCTATTTGCAGATAAACGATCTGACCACAAAAGTTTGACTGTTGCTCACGTGAGATTTTGTGTGTAGGTGTCTAGTATCAGCTGAATGAAGAGTTCTATGAGAATTAAGTAAGCCTCGCTCAGCTACGACATGAGTGATGAGTAATTATAGATGGCTCGGGGTTTAAGAATAGACTGCAGCTGGTGGCATCATTTCACGGGTTTTAAGGTGGATCATCTTCCCCAGGTCGCAACGTAGATGTCAAAATCATGCTTGAGGTCGATCTTAAAGCATTGTGGACATGGTTGTAAGCAAATTGCTTCCTCAGTTGTTAAATTTCCCAAACTTGGTAATGGTAATGCTGAAACCATTTGTCTAAAGTTGGACAATCAGGTGTATATCAGTGATGGAACATCTTGGTATTGTTTGTGCTATTCTTTTTAACCTAATATGACCATGCTATTTGCTTTTCTTTGAGGAAACATAGCTCTTTGTCAAATAAATAGTGCGGTTGAGAACGAAGGGGGTTTCCATTATCTCAGCTGCACACGCATCTTCTAAAAATGATAAGGTGTCACCTTACTGTGGATATTTATAACGCTGAATTCATGGTGAGTTGGTTTGGTGCCCCCTTCCAACCCCTCTGCCCTCTTTTCCAGTCGTTCCCTGTGTGTCTGGCCTTTGAACCTTGCGTTCCCTATATACAGGAAGGGTGGAGCTTCTATATTCTCCAGAACGTCCATGAAGCTCCAGTCAGAGGGCGAGTCCGTCTCATCCAAGCGTCTTCCAGGGCCCACCACGGCCCCACAATCCAGCAACCCACCCCATAACCCAACACCCCCTTGTGCACCAACAGAAATCCACCGAAGCAGGACCTGAGACCTTCGGCAGTTCTAGTCTAGGGTCCTCACTGGGTTACAAGGACAAGCATGGCCGACAAACTGGGACTGGCAGGTGTGGCGGACGAGCCCAGCACCCTGAACATCTTCACTCTGCTGGAGAGGGTGTCTGGGATCATAGACAATGTGCAGGCGTGCCAGCAACGCATGGAGGAGAGGCAGCTGGAGCTGGAGAACACCGTGAAGACCATCCAGGTGGACGTGGTGAAGTTGACGAAGGAGCACACGGCGACGAGTAGCACCGTGGAGAAACTTCTAGAGAAAACACGCAAGGTCAGCTGCCACGTCAAGGACGTTCGTGTACGGGTGGAGAAGCAGAACATACGTGTCAAGAAAGTGGAGGAAACCCAAGTCGAGCTGCTGAACAAGAACAAGTTCCGTGTCGTCATCTACCAGGTAAGACTTTACTTTTGGTGGCATGCGAATGTTTTCTTTTGGACTGGATTTTTGGGGTTGGATCTCTAAAGCAGGTCTAATTTTGGAAACCTACCTTAGAACAGTGGACCTTTTTCCTTTGGTCATGGTTGAAACTCCATGCATTGATGATTTTTTAACTCTGATAACCCCATTTGCTCAAGTTGAAATGTTGTAGGACAAGCTCAAAGACAGACATATTGTTTCAAGATACAAGGTCTTGCATGATCCAAGATAAATCCTGGTACATTAGAAGGTCAAGTGGCCTACAGCCAAAAGCAATCCAGCAGGAATGTTCTGCCAGTCCCCGCTGAGAATGGAGGATTAGGTTGGCGGCCATTTTATCTGATATGTGGCAGGATGTCTGGAGTAACACTCAGATAAACCATGTAACGTGATCCATGAAGGAGTAAAAATGAATTAATATACACTCTTTAGTGCATAAGAGAATGAACTATGAAGCCTTATTTGGAATACCACTGTTGTTTAAAACGAGCCTAGATGTCCGAAATCAGATTAAGATCGAGTACAGAATTATGACATCATGGAGGAATGTTTCATTGCTAAATCTGGAAATACTGTTTCATACATCTGCAGTAGATCTGCTATTGTTTGAAATAACTTGACAATCATTTGGGTAGCTTGTATTAGGACAGCCCAATTACTGTATACAAAAGCACTTAATGCATTAAAATTAATAAAATTATTGTTTTTTTATATTTATTTGATTTTTTAAAGATTCAAATAACCCAATAGCAATATGATATAACAAATAACAAGAGGGGGTTTAAAAAATATGATTAAAAATAAAATAATTGACAATTTATCTAAAATCTTTTAACAATACCATAATGTTTTCATACATTTTTAAGAGAAGATTTTCTGAAATTATGATAGTAAATGCTTGAAATATTATGTAACTAGATTTGAATTTAAGACCCCGCATTAATCAAATAAAATTGAACGTACTGTTAGGTTTTCAGATGAATAATTATGAAAAATTTACAATTACGTTTTAGTTGAAGATTTATTTAAATTTTCCGAAGATTTATCATAGGAAATAGGCTAGTATTCTCCATTTTCCATATAATACACATTTTCTTGAAGACTAATAGGCAACTAGTGTACTCAAATTAGCTCATATTTTTTTTCTCTAACAATCTTACATTTAATTAGTGCCCATGGGTTTGATGGTCTCTTGTACCGTGAGGAGAACAGCTGACAGATTTGTTCAGGGTTATTCTGAGAGCTGCACTGAAGCTTCATGTCCTAATATAGTGCTATCGCGTCTGACAGAGTGATGGTTAAAAAAGCTGTCGACAGAGTCTTTAATAACTTATTAAACATTGACCATTTGTTATTAGTAGTCTTTTTCTTATATAAAATGTGCATTTTGTTCGTTTATAAAGCACTCTGTGACTATTTATCAGAAGTGGTAAAGTTCATGACTGAGTGAGTCACGTAACTTGATTCACTTATTCTAGCTATTAACGATTGGTTTATGTTATGTGTTAGTTATTCAACAGCACACTATTAATTTCATCTAAACCCTTTCGAAACAGATAATAAACCTACGTTATCTTTATTTGCAAACTACTGCGCGATCTGATGGGTGTACAGATTCACAACACTGTATTCATCAACATCAACAGTTTAGCCGTGCTAAGTGCTAAGTCTTCTGCACTTTTTGAATTTTAATAGCACTGCTATTCTCAAATGATTTAGCTTAAAACTAATATACATATATATATGAACCAACACCAAACGTAAAAGCATTTAATCGTCATCTGGAGTTTTCTCCTAGTGTCGGCAAGTTATTAAATGGCGGACCGATATCCCGCGTAATCGGGTAACTGACGCCGGCGCTACTTTCACGTGTCTCGTATCACTCCGTGGACTCGCGCTCTCTTCTTTCATTCAAACGCAATTGGCGATATCTTACGTATCAGTTGTCGATTGTAGTGAAAATAAACCTTAGAGGACTTCAGTATTAATATTACTGTAATGTTGTAGTGTTCATCTTGGAGCTTGGGTGATTGTTTTGTACATTGTAATGGACTATTTTGACTTAGCGGAAGCTTTAAGAGAACAAGATTCAAGTAAAATTAAAGCTGCAAGCAGCATTGAAAGGGCCCTTGCACACGGGCTCACCGCCACCCGGTGGCTTTAGGAAATCAGCAAACGGTGAGCAATATGCATTTAAATTGGTAAATATAGGAGGAATATGTCAAAGTCATTTATATGTGTCAAACTTCCTGCTGCCAGCTGGTGGCGCTATGACTATAACTGAATAGTGACATGTAGATGTCTTTAGGCCAGCACTTTTATCAAACATATGAATTTTGGTGCAGATTGAACATGGTATGTTTGAGTTAGTATTAGGGCTGCCCTCGACTAAGGATTTTTCTGGTCGACTAGTATTCGTTCATTTTAAGCATTAGTCGACTAATCGCATGTTTATTAATAAACCATTTAAATCATTATAATGAGCCTTTAATTGCCTACAAAGCCTAAGCACTCAAGCGCACTCATAAAGCTTGCCACAGCGCACCGGCAGAAGAAATGATTATGAATGTGTCAGGGAAAAACAG